AGACGCGGAGGAGCGCGGCCTGGCTTTCGGTGGAGATGAGCCAGGACGGGCACCAGGTTGCCATCCTGACGGCGGAGCTGACGGTCGCCCAGCGGGCCGGCGTCATCCAGCGCTTTCGCGACGGGAAGGAGAAGGTCCTCATCGCCACCAACGTCTGCGCCAGAGGTACCTCCGGGAAAACCCAACGCCCCTTTGCCTTCCCGAGGGCGCGAAAACGCGCTTCCCCGGCCTCTGGTTCTTCCGGTGGCAGCGTGGGCTGGAGCAAGGGATCCTCCCCGCCCTGCGGGGTGAGGTGATCCCTCGCCACGGCCCCTTTCCCTCTTTTTTCCCAGGGATCGACGTGCAGCAGGTCACCGTCGTGGTGAACTTCGGCCTCCCCACCGATCAGAAGAGCGAGCCGGATTTCGAGACCTACCTCCACCGCATCGGGCGGACGGGACGCTTTGGGAAGAAGGGCATCGCCTTCAGCATGGTGGAAAGCCAGAACGTGGGGCTGGTGCAGATGATAGAGGAGCATTTCCGTGAGTATCCGCGCGTATCCACCTCTCCGGGAAGGCGGTTTTGGGATCTGGTGATCCCCCTCCGGCTCGTTTTCCCAGCTGCAAAGGGACCCTGTTGGGCTGCTCTTCTCCCCGGGGCTCATCCCACTCGCTCCAGGCGACAGACGCGGCTTTTCCTTTCGGCCCCTCACCCTTTTAGGGTTGGGGGGTTTTTTTTTCCCCCCCTTTAGCAGCCGGAGTTTCGGAGGAACAGCCTGGGAGGTTGCACGCGACTTCCGAGGGACGTTACAAGTACCCAGGATGCCTCAGCACCTCTTTTTTTTGTTGTTTTTTTTGGGGTTTTTTTCTTTTTTTCTTCCCTCCTTCAGGCATTTTACCTGCCTTTCCCCTGCAGACCCCTGTCCCGGGGCGGCCGGTGCCCCGGCTTAGCTCAGCCCTGGCTGTGGGAGAGAAGCCGGCAGCTGAAATGGCGCAGGTCTCTTCCTGGCTGCGAACCCACTGTCGGCGGTCAACGCCGAGGGGATTTTTCACGGGATTGGCAAGATGCCGCGGCTGCACCGGTGGCTTTTCAAATCCCGGTGCCTGTTTTCCCTGTGATTTTTTTTTTTTAAATCTTTATTTTTAGGGAAAAGAAGGTGATCGAAAACTTTCGGCCTGCGGAAAACCACGTCCCTCCCTCAGCTTCGGCCTCGGGGCTGCTGAGCTGCCTTGGCAGCTTTGTCCTTTAAATTTAAAAACCGAACCAGCCGGCGGCAGGCACCGGGCAGAGGAGGCACGAGCCCGATAGTCTGGCAAAGATTGATTTTTTTTATTTTTTTAATTTTTTTATTTTAATTTTTTTTTCTGAGCAGCAGAAGCGTCGGGACAACTGCGGTGAGCAGCTTTAACCCCGAGGTGGACGGGTCCGACCGCAGCCACGGCCGGAATTAGCCAAAGGAGCCCAGTGTGGGATTTCCACGGGGTGAAAATCCGAGGGGATGAGCTCCCACCGACCTGACTTTTGCTTTTTAACGCCGTGACGTCGCGATCCGAGGGCCGGGGGCTGCCTGACGGGGATCAACGATCCTTTCCCCATCCCCGCGTCGCGTCGGA